CACTTAAACTTAACCCTTCATTCAACTCAAGGACTTACTATGCATTAACATATGTACTTTTGTTGTCTTGTAATTAGAATGAAGTATATAATACACACTGTATATAATACACAATGCAATTTACATTTAATTGTCTTGGTGTTATGAACTAACCTAAAAACCTACAAACTCTTAAGAGCACAAAAGTACACCAAGGCCACAAACACTCTAAGAATAGCAACTGATCCCTCACCCATCTGTCCTTCACCCTCCATCTGTAGCAGAAATTCAAAATTGTTGAACAACAATTCAAAATTGTTGAATTTACAGCAAGTTCCTCAAAAGTTTGTTGCCACTTAATAACCAGCCGTTCTTTTCAAAATGTTGCTCTCACTACAAGGGAAGCATGTAATAGTGTCTTTGTTCTAATAACTAGGAGCAGGGAGGACTCCGTAAAAGAAGGACTTGGCTACCCTGACACATATGTCATTCAAAAGTGTAATTGACCCTGACAGTGATTCTGTCTCCTAAGACCCCACCCTTTTCTCTACGTAGAAGCCAGCACACTTGAGAAATGGTACCTGCTTTGATGCTGATGCGATTGCTTCCTCCAAAAGATCCAGATTTTGGTTCATTAATAGCAAGGCCTCTTCATAGGACACCGGTATCAGGGTGGCATTAGGCAATATCACTGCATGCTCATATACAGCTGCAGTAAACGTATCCAGAGAGCTGGCTGTTAAGACACAGAGAAAGAAAATTGCCGCATAATCCAGCAACTGAGACATAGTCATGCTGGAGTCCAACGATTGCTGAAAAGCAGAGCAAGCCCTGATATTTACAGGGAGAAATCACGTGGTTCCCAGAACTTAGTGCTTTAAAAATAAATTACAAAAGCTAAGTTTAAGAAAGCCTTCTGGTTTTACATCATAGATGTAGATGTAATCAGGTTTTATGTAACAAATGACCTTTTTTTCGCAAGAGTTTTTGAGGATCAAATAAGAAAATGCATATGTGTTTTCCTTCGCTAGGGTTGTCACAACAAAGTACCACACACTGGGTGGCTTAAACAACAGAAATGTATTCTCTGTCATTTCTGGAGGCTAGACATTTCAGAGGAAGGGGGTCAGCAGAATTGGTTCCTCCTGAGGGCTGTGAGGGAAAGATCTGTTCACGCCTCTTTCCTGTGTTTTGCTGTCTTCTCCCTGTGTGTCTTCACCCGGTATCCTCCCTGTGTACATACCTGAGTCCCAGTTTCCTCTCTTTACAAGGACACGTGTTAATGGATTTAGTGCCCACCCTACTCCAGTAAGATGTCATCTTAACGAATTACATCTGATATGATATTATTTCCAAATAAGGTCACTTTCTGGGGTACAGCGTGTTAAGACGTAAACACATGGATTTTTGGAATTCATACATTTGAGAACTTCAGCACCTAGTAGTCTATGTAAATAATTTGAAAAACAACTTTTCAATTTTGAAATTAGTATTAATATCATCATGTGAATATTTGAGCTTCATACTTTGTTCACTTTAGTTTGCACAAAATGGCAAAGAGTCAGAACAAAGGGGAATATAAAAGGGCTATTCATTGTCCATTCCTAGGTAAGAGATCACCCTCCAAAAGTAGTGGCTTCTAACAGCAAGCATGTGTGATCTCACATTTTCTGTGGGTCAGGAATCCTGGGGCAACTTGGCTGGGCTCCTCTGGCCCAGGGTCTCTTTCACAAGTCTGCAAAAGCTGCAGTTACCTCAAAACTTGACTGGGGAAAGATTCACTTCTCAGCTCCAGGCTCACACAGCTGATGGCAGGCATTGGGTCCTCACTGGTTATGGCCCAATAAGTTCTTTGCCACAAAGGCCTCAGGCCACACTAAAAGAACACTCACATTATGGCATGTAGGTTCCTTCAAAGCCAGAGAGCAAGAGAGCCCACCACCCAAGACAGAAGTCACAGTCTTTAGTATTGTCATCTGGGAAGTGACAGCCCATCATTTTTGTTGTATTGTATTCATTAAAAGCAAGTCAGTACACTTGTTGGGAGGGGACTACACAAGGGCATGAATGAGGCAGGGATCATTGGGGACCATCTTAGAGGCTGCATACCATACGAGTCATAGAGAGGGGAGTATAAAGAATGAGAGGGAGAATAAGAGGGAGACAGAGAGAGAGAGAAGAGAGGAAAATAATAGAAAATAGAAAAAGAGCTTATAGATTTTAGTATGGAATAAGTAGGCAAATTTTTTTTTTTTTTTTTCGGTATGCGGGCCTCTCACTGTTGTGGTCTCTCCCGTTGCGGAGCACAGGCTCCAGATGCGCAGGCTCAGCGGCCATGGCTCACGGGCCCAGCCGCTTCGCGGCACGTGGGATCCTCCCGGACCGGAGCACGAACTTGCGCCCCCTGCATCGGCAGGCGGACTCTCAACCACTGCGCCACCAGGGAAGCCCGCAAATTTTGTTTTACTTGTGAATTAAGTATAACATTTTATATTTACACAATTAGTGTTTGTTTGTTTTGTTTTTAGATTTCACTTTGGATGGTGTTTTTATAGTTCAATTTGCAGATGGGTATGTATGTTTTTTTTTTTTTTTTTTACTTCAGTACTACAGTAAATTTATTCTTTGGCTGCCAAAGTAGCCAGGAGGCTGTGTTTGCCCGGTCTTCCTAAGTCTATAGCAAATACCAGCTCCCTCTGCTTGCTGACCTCCTTTGGGCTTTCCCTTCCCAGGTGGGTGGGATACACAGACTTCACAAGGATGTTGACCCAAAACAGACTACCAAAACAGACTACCATATATTTCTCCAGCAAAGATGGGTTTATCCGGGATCTACAACTCAGGATCTGCCACCACGGTGAGCCCCCGCACGGCAAGGGAAGGAGAATGCTTACACAGAGAGAAAAAGGAAGTTGAGAGGGCTAGAGTAATCAAAGAGTCCATGGCTTTTCCTTGGCTGAGTCCCTGCCAGGAAGAAGAGAAGTGGTCTTCTTCCTGTTTGGCTCTGCTATTGTCACGGGGCACGAGAACACCCCCTCTGGTCTTCCAGCTCTACTTAATTGAGGTTTCTGTTTATTAATTTTTTACAAGGAGATTCAGTCATTCCATAAGAATTTATAAAGGAAGCTCTGAAATAAAAGTTAAAACTGGAATGAGTTACCAAGAGATTAAAAAAATTACTTCTTTGATCTTATTAGAATAAAATTATTAAATAAGAAGCTCCCATTGTGTTTCTAGTCTGATATAGAAAGAGCTTGCAAGTCATCTCTACTGTTTTCTCAGTAAGAAAAAAGCTGAACAACTGAAAAGCAGCAACTTTTTTAGGTACATTAGAGAAGTGGACTCACAGGACAAATCACTGCCCCCAGAGTTAGAGAGACAGGCTTGCCCTAGCAGAAGTCCACTGCTGGAGCCAGTCCTGGTATGGTCACTCCAACTGTCTTTGACGCATGGCCAGAGGTTCAGCGTGGGCAGGCTCGAGAGATACAAATGGGGGATGAAGGTGGAGGAGGTTTCAGTGTTGGGGGGCCCTCACGCTTCTGTGACTTTCACTCCAGAAGCCCAACCAGGTTCTCTGGGCAAATAACAAGGAAATAAAACACCTTGTGCTTCTTCTAGGAGGAGGAAAAATACACCTACTTTGAAGTAAGTCCGGAGCATTCTGTTCTCTTAACCAAAGCCTGCCTTCCATGGAAACAATTTACTAGAGCCTAACCTTCCTGGGGGACAGGGAAACCCCATCTCTAAACCCCCTCTAGCTTGCCTGTCCCAACTAAGGGGAAAGGAAACAGCTAAGAAACACTTGTGAAGGTCACAGCCCAGGAACACAAGCCCACTACAAGACAGAGATTTAATCACTGGGCTATAGAACCCTTCCCCTCCCCTGACATTTACTACCACATCAAGCTGGCATTTCTGGCCTACCTTGGCACATACCAGCTGGGAGAAGCCTTTAGGTGGACAATTGTGGTTCTTGCAGTAGAATGCCATCCATCAGCTTAAATTAGAACTGGTGGGACACCAAATAGCCTCCGCTATGATGCCTGAGCTGAATCTCCTGACCCCTAATGTTACCCCCAAACTGGGTTTGCCTCTTGCTGGGCCAAAAGATATAATCAAGCCAAAGAGCAGAAGGAAGGATTTTTTTACTTCCAACAATTAAGAAGAACACTGGGGATATTTCCCAATGCAGTGTCTCCCGAACAGCAAAACTGGGGAAGTTTTAAGCTGAGGGTACATTCATAGTCATGAAGGGGAAGAAGGTCACATCCTGCACAAGCGGAGGAGTCTAGGGCATAGGTAGCATCCTATCATCGAGTGTTGTAGCCCCTGGAGAGAGATTCCAGGTAAAATGGAAACAGAGAGACAAAGGGCATTTTCTGCTGCCCAGAATGTCTCTAGCTTCCTGGAACTGGATTGAATTAAACCGAGTAGAAATGAACACCTGAGAAAAGATTAGGAAAGCAGTTGTCATATCTTTTTTTTTTTTAATCTTTTTTTTTTTTTTTTTTTTTTGCAGTACGCGGGCCTCTCACTGTTGTGGCCTCTCCCGTTGTGGAGCACAGGCTCCAGACGTGCAGGCTCAGCGGCCATGGCTCACGGGCCCAGCCGCTCCACGGCATGTGGGATCTTCCCAGACCGGGGCACGAACCCGTGTCCCCCGCATCGGCAGGCGGGCTCTCAACCACTGCGCCACCAGGGAAGCCCAGTTGTCATATCTTTTATGGGAAGGGAAAGGTGTCCCCAAACTCAGAGTCATCCTCAACCTCTCCCACACATCCTAGAGAGCACTGCTATTCTCATGTGTGTCTCTTCCCAGAGTTAATAAGTGACAAACCAGGGAAAGGACTCAGGGCACCAGGGTCAAGGGAACAAAGGTAACTGGGAGAAAGGTAACAGGGTAGCCTTGTCTGAGGAAGTTCCTGTCTGGCACAGGCTGCAACAAATCCATGAGTATGAAGGGCTTTAACCAGGATTGGGTAAATTTTAGGAAAGAATAATTTCAGAAGGAAACAGCGTGTGGTCTGAAGGAATCATTTATTCATTTATCTCTTTTTAAATTTCCCTTCACAAGTATCTAATTTCCATACAAATATTCCATAAAGATAGAATAAAGAGACAATGGAACAATTTTAATTTGTTATAAAAGTCATTCATAATTACTTTAAAAGATACCCTTGTTTTTTAACTTCCTGTATCCTAAAGACTAGGACCAAATACCCTCCGCATTTTCAACGCTTACCCTGTGCATTTACAAATGAGAGACACAATATTTGCATACGTTAGAGAAGTTACCACAAAAGGATTCTTCTAGGCTCCCCTCCCATAAATACATGTTGCACTATACATAGCCATACTGACACATACTTAAGTGCACCCACACAGAAGATGCATGCAGCTCCCAGAAATGAATATGTAAAACGTGCACACACATCCAATTGCTTTTTAAATCTTCTTAAGTTTGTTGTTTCAGCAAAGTGATGACATCTCTTCTAAACAGACACTAAAGACTCTCTCTTTTCCCTCTCTCTTTGCCAGGCTAATCCTGAAAGGATGGCGGTGAAGGAGATCATGGCAGTTGCCCAGTTCCCTGCCCTAAGCGCAGAGGGTCCCTCTCAAACACTCTTCCATACAGGGCCAGAACCAGGAAAGGCAAACAGGCTCCGCCTCGGCTCTGCAGACGTCCATCTCCTGAAACCTGATCAAAGAAAGCAAAGGATTAACTTCAATGCAGAGTTGGTTCCAGCCCAGAAGCCTTCTCTGACAACATCACTCTAAAAGCAACATGAAATAGTCAAAAGCACACAAAATTTGGAGTCAGAAGACCCCTGTTTCAGCTCTACATGTCTAATAGTATCAGAGGGACTGTGGATGAACGTGTAGCAAATAAATCTATTGCCCTGGGGATTAAGTAAGATAATGTATAAAAACGAGGATTTTTTTTTTTAATTCTTGAAACACTATACAAGGTATCAATTATTACTATCATTATTATAACTATGTAGAATAATGCACCCATGAAATAAGTTATAGATGCATTATTTAATGTATTCAACTTGGACCTTCTCCACTATGCAAAAAAAGAAAACATTAGTTGCCAGCTATCATTGGCAATCAATATTTTTATTTTAATTCTTCCATAATCTCCTTGTTCCCTTGGATCTCAAAATCACATTTATGTAGAAAAATAAACCCCAAATTCTCCACCACAGCCTAAGGACAGTCTAGAACCACAACTTGTCTTCCATATCATAGCTTCTTTGTATAAGTTGCTTGAATAAGGTGAACGACAATGTTGCCATGTTGTCTCATTATTTCAACGAGTTTCATTATGCCAGTCTACTGCATCTGTTCAAAGGAATTTATCCCCCTGAAAATCTCATACCTCATAATGTCTTTCAGGGACAAGCTGACTCTCACTAAGAATGATCTGTGGGAAAACATAACTCGTTCCAAATGTGCCACTGAGGGAGAATTCTTCAAACTTAGTAAAAGCTGACCCCGCAGGCTCTCCACAAGTTCTCAGGTCAGTGGTTTGACACTTCAGTAATGTGCATACCTGTGTAGGAAAAGAAAAGTGGTTGGAAATCTTGGAAATATTTTCTCAGCTAAAAATCCAATTACAAAGAATAGAAGAATATTTGTTAAGTTGCCTCTTAAGTAGTTTTTTTTTTTCAATTGCAGCTCATAATCTATTAGTAAATCCTAAAATTAATTTAGTGAGTCAAGATTAGCCCTTTTTTCAATGAAGCAAAATGGATTAGACTAGAATTTTCAAAATTAGAGTATGTTGGTTATAATTATAGCTATTTCTAATTCTGATTTGAATTATTATTATTATTTTTTTTTCGGTTCATGGGCCTCCTCTCACTGTTGTGGCCTCTCCCGTTGCGGAGCACAGGCTCCGGACGCGCAGGCCCAGCGGCCATGGCTCACGGGCCCAGCCACTCCGTGACATGTGGGATCTTCCCGGACCGGGGCACGAACCTGTGTCCCCTGCATCGGCAGCGGACTCTCAACCACTGCGCCACCAGGGAAGCCCTGATTTGAATTATTTTATAAAATGTTTGTTTCAATTAAGTATCTCTTTTAACTCAGTCATACATCTTGACTGTGCTTATTTATGATGTGAAATGGACTTCTTGCTCTGGACTCTAGTTGAAGACAGTTTGCAAAACACAGCTGTAAAGTAACCTGACAGAAAAAGAGAGTATATGGGGGTTGTAGCTTTTTAAACTTGAACCCAGTCTGCTGAGAGCTAATCAATCTGCTTCCTGTTTTTACCTTGCAGCTCTAATTCTGTTTTCACTAAGACTGAACAAATAATGTGTTCTAGGGAGAAAAGTTCAGTGACAAATGTAACACCATTCCAATTAACTGAATCCAGCACAATTCTTAAAGAAATGCAATGATGACCTAGAAGACAAATCAGTAGAAGAGCCATTCTAACATATTTGAGTGTTTCTACCTGTAAGTAATACTGGCCTTCTACCATGTGCAGGCTGTCAAAGGCACCTAGTGCGTACACCTCACTGTTTCATTTCTCAGACATCTTGTAAGTTAAGTGACAGCACAGGTCTTTCGGACAAACTGTGTAATTTCCTGTGTTTCTCTTAAGCTTGGTGAAGGTGAACGCATCAAAATAAATCATCCCTGGAAAATTCAACCGTTCAGATGAGAATGGCTTGACACCTCTGGCATAAGCACTCCAGTGAACAGCTGCAGAGTAACTGGGTTCTCTTCAAGGCCGGGACTTCAATTCTGAGAGCATCAGCTGGCCACTCTCTGTTTCCATTTCATAGTAATACACCTTGACAGCCTCCGGTGAGCAGATTCCACTTTCTACGGGTGACATAAAGAAACACAAATATTGGTTTCAAATTTTGCACGGTGACAAACTAATAGAATGACTTCCCTAAGAACTGAAATATAAAGTTATGAAAGCACAAGCATTTTCAAGATAAGGAGGGAGAGAGCTTTACATTGACCTAAATTCCAATTTGACTCTGAGTCCTCCGTATGGGACTGCTTACACTGAAACTATATGACTTAGATAGCTTTTTTTTGTTTTTAACTTAAACTCCCCTTTCTTTAGCCAATTTAACAGTAAACCAGAAAATCTCTCAAACATGAAGAACAATTTTAGCTCTCCACTAACCTATCTAATTTATGTGTTTGAGATTCTTCACCTGGATCAATGAAGAACAAAGCTGCTTTACCTTGAAAGTGGAGGGGAGGCTGCTTTACCTTGAAAGTGGATACTATAAAGGATAAACTCTAAAAACCTGATTAAGTCTAAAGTGATTTTATCACCTCAACAGCAAGATTTATTTCAATATTACTCGTGGATGTTAGCTGCAGCGTTCTTTAGCTCTGGCTTTGCTTTTTTTATGTAACTTGAATTCTAACTCCAATTTCCCCTCGCGTGAAACTGAGAATATGTTTGCCTCCTTCTTTACTCCCAGGAATAATGTTCCTTAAATAATGTTGGTATAGAAGCCCATGCTCTTATTAATTTTGGGACGTTGGAGTTAATAGAAGAATCTTTAAAGAAAAGCGTGGCTTGAAAATGAATGAAGGCTTCCCAAGACTGTGGCTGCCTGTTGGGGCAGAACCAGGGTGAGGTACGTGTCATGTGCATGCTCGTGTTGTGGGTATTGGTAGCAAGCAGGTTGACTCCCAGGGCTCGGGCTCATGCCAGGTGGACGGGGACCGCTGAGAGGAGAGGCAGCGTGTTGTACCAGGCCATGGGGTAGAGAATGCTGTCAACCTGAAACTCTTCCACCACCATCACAGCTGGGTCATGAGAAAAAATGTCAAAGCAAGTGAAAATGCCAAACTTCCCAAAGGGAGAGTCAAAAGGCACAAGTTCTGAGTCCTTGGGGAAATCAAATTGAATTTCAGGTGCAAAAAGGTTGTACTGTTAAGCGAAATGCAAAGAAGGGGAAGATTAGTAAGAAAACTGTCAAATAGAAGTGATCAGTATCTTCAAAATCTTTTCTCGCGCGCATGTTGGTGTGCATACTTAAAACTGTTACACATAAATTAGTGTAAATTATACCCAGTATACCACTGTCTGTGAGTTTTCTCACTGTGACATTCATCAGAACACTTCATTTTCCCACAACCTATGAATCAACCAATGAGTTCATATCTACAAATGATATTTATTTATTTATAATTAATTAATTAATTTATGGCTTCGTTGGGTCTTTGTTGCTGTGCACGGGCTTTCTCTAGTTGTGACGAGCTGGGGCTACTCTCCGTTGCTGTGCGTGGGCTTCTCATTGAGGTGGCTTCTCTTGGTGCGGAGCACGGGCTCTAGGCGTGCGGGCTTCAGTAGTTGTGGCACATGAGCTCAGTAGTTGTGGCTTGCGGGCTCAGTAGTTGTGGCTCGCGGGCTCTAGAGCGCAGGCTCAGTAGTTGTGGTGCATGGGCTTAGCTGCTCCGCGGCATGTGGGATCTTCCCGGACCAGGGATTGAACACGTGTCCCCTACATTGGCAGGCGGATGCTTAACCACTGTGGCACCAGGGAAGCCCCTACAAATGACATTTAAAAGGTGAATATTTGTCTTAAAATCACTTGAAATTTTGAACCTCACAAATTTCTGATGGTTTTCCACTCTATTCTTTAAATACCAGCAGCACTGTCCATGTGAAGTCTAACACGGTAATAAAATAAACTTTGTCATGTCTCCCCATGGTACTGCTAGGTCTATATAAGTGAGGTGACGTAGATTGGAACTTAATTTAGACAATGTAATAGCTAAACCTTGTTAATTAGTAAACCATTAGAATTTTTTTTCCAGCCTGATTATTGCTCCCAAACTCCACCTACCTTGGGCTCAGAACAGCCTTATGTTCTGCTCACGTTTCTAGTTGGCCTGATGTGTGCATATGTGCTCAGGCAACACCCCACCCCCACCTGACCAGTGAGCATCCCAAGCTCCTCGGCCCTCGGCTCAGGGGGTAGCCCATCCTTCATCCCCAGGTGATTGACTTGAAGGCGGCATGTGGCTGATTTGGAGTCAAGGAAGGCTAAGGTTTTTGCAGGGTTTCTAGGAAAGAGGAATGCAGTCTTCCTCTGGATTTTGTTGCTATTAGGATATGTGCTTTGTGATGAGCAGCGATGTGGCTTCTGAAAGGACAGTCATCCTGGGAAAAAATTGTAACAAAGGAATAAGAGAGCTAGAGGGATGGATGACATCTTCTGGGCCTCTGAGGGACAGACTGCATCGGAAACTAGACCTACCCTTTCTATGATTTATATTTTCTCAGGTACCTAAGCAAGGAAATTCTGTGCTGTTGTTGTTTTTTTAAGCCAATTTCACGGGGGTTTTCTATCATTGCAATCAAAAAAGTCCCAATGAAATGAATGACTACAGCTTAATACCAAATGTTACAAAATTGGGTCAAAAAACTAACTCTAGTACTAAATCTTGTGATGAAACTGAGCATTTCTCCTTTCTCAGTGACTATTAAGATCCTCGTGCAGCTATTAACACATCTGCTTTAATAGTCTGATAGATTTGGGCTTCCCTGGTGGCGCAGTGGTTGAGAATCTGCCTGCTAATGCAGGGGACACGGGTTCGAGCCCTGGTCTGGGAAGATCCCACATGCCGCGGAGCTACCAGGCCCGTGCACCACAACGCGCGTCTGGAGCCCGTGCTCCGCAACAAGAGAGGCCGCGATAGTGAAGAGGCATGCGCACCGCGTTGAAGAGTGACCCCGCTCTCCACAACTAGAGAAAGCCCTCGCACAGAAACGAAGACCCAACACAGCCAAAAATAACATATATAAAAATAAATAAATAAATAGTCTGGTAGATTCTATTTTATGACTAACTCAGAACGCTTATACTAAATCAAAGTAAGTTAAATCCCTTTTTCAACTAAGGGTAATAATTCAGAAACGCATTCACAGCAGTTCCCTCACCAGCATTCACAGATAAATATACCTAGATATCAAAAACAAAAGAAGTAAATCGAGGGGCTTCTCTGGTGGCGCAGTGGTTGAGTCCTCCTGCCGATGCAGGGTTCGTGCCCCGGTCCGGGAAAATCCCACGTTCCGCGGAGCGGCTGGGCCCGTGAGCCATGGCCGCTGAGCCTGCGCGTCCGGAACCTGTGGTCCGCAACGGGAGAGGCCACAACAGTGAGAGGCCCGCGTATCGCAAAAAAAAAAAAAAAGACAGAAGTAAATCGAGCTTAGCTAAGGCACAAGTAATTCTCACCTTGTGGTAGGGCGCCACCAGCCTACCCTCAGAATCAAACACCACATCAGTGTTGTATTGGTAACGACCATCAGGGGGACACTGAGGGTCACTGGCATTGCATGGCTTCTCATCCCCAGTATTTGCCACAATGTAGATAGAGTTGTCCTTGGCCAGACAGCTGAGCCTTTCTTGCACTGGGCTGCGGCCAAACCTAATTCAATAGATACTGCCTTAAACTCACTGTGTGTTAGTGATTTTGGAACTTCCAAAGTGATACTTCATTTGCCCGTTACCTATAACACACAACAGCTCTAGGTTAAGAATCAACAGTAAAGATTTAAAAATTCACATGTAATACAATCTTCTTCTTTATGAAAACTAACCTATTTTTTAACTGACAGATTCAGGATGGCAGTGCAAGACTGAAGCACAGAGAAAACTGAGGGGGAAGACGAGAAAGAAGAGAAGCAACACATTTTCTTATGATGTTCTCCTAGGAGCACAAATGAAGGGCTTGAAATTTAACACTTTTCTAATGGGGAGGACCTTTTCCATAATCCAAGCCACAGTCCTACTAGGAGGCAGTATAGAGTTGGGCCCAGGCAGATCATCTTCTACAGAGAACAAATGCAGCATTAGGTACCAGAAATATTTTTAAAAAGGAAAGAAAAGAAAAGGAAAAAAGAATTTCACTATGCAGTCTCCGTGTCCCCATTTGTCAATGCAACACAATAGCTTCCCTTCTATCTTAGAGGGCCCTTGAGTGAAACCCTGGGATAAATACAGACTATGAAATTGCTTTTTGGAGTAATGCCCAAACCACCCACCTTGGGGATATTTACCCTAGAAATAAGAAGGGAGTGAGGTGAGGAAATAGCTGGGATTATAGCTGGCTTCAAATAATTGAAAGATTCTAATTTGAAGAAGATGAGTCACGTATCTTAATATACGATAGGCGCAGTATGAACACCAAAGGAAGTTATAGATAGATGATTTCAGTGGAAAATAAGATTAAAATTTCTAGCAACCAGAACACGCTAAGAAGTGGATTCACTAGTCACTGGAAATTTAAAGTATAAGATGGTGCTTCCAGGCACTCAGAAGTCCATTCCGTTAGTGTGGCTCAGTGGAAATGGCTGTGCTTGAATTCCAGCCAGGCTAATTACCAATTGTGAAACCTTAAGCTCCCTTCTTTGCTTTTCTTTTCTTTTTTTTTTTTTTTTTTTTGCCGTACGCGTGCCTCTCACTGTTGTGGCCTCTCCCGTTGTGGAGCCCAGGCTCCGGACGCGCAGGCTCAGTGGCCATGGCTCATGGGCCCAGCTGCTCCGCGGCATGTGGGATCTTCCTGGACCGGGGCACGGTGTCCCGTGCATCGGCAGATGGACTCTCAACCACTGCACCACCAGGGAAGCCCTCCCTTCTTTTCTTCATATTTAAAATGGGAATAGGGACTTCCCTGGTGGCGCAATGGTTAAGAATCCACCTACCGATCCAGGGTACACGGGTTCGAGTCTTGGTCTGGGAAGATCCCACATGCTTGCAGAACAACTAAGCCCGTGTGCCACAACTACTGAGCCAGCACCAGAGTGCTGGCTCAGGAGTTTCTGTTCTGTTTGGTAACATAACAGC